AGTTGTAACTAAAATTTAAAGTTACTTATAAAGTTGATTTCAAAATAAAATCTTTAATGTGAGGAAATACTGATGAATGTTGGTTTTATTAAGAATATAAAAATTAAATAACTAAAATTTATAGTTACTTCTAGAATTTGATTTCAAAATAAAATCTTCAATATGATGAATTATATATGAATGTTGTTTATTTAAAGCATATAGAAATTAAAATATAACTTGGTAGTCATACAAAAATTATTTAAAAAAAAATAAAAAATCTCCGAAGATCCGAACCAAACCATATCGAACCGAACCGTCCCAATAGCCTCGAATACCGAACCGAACCGAACCGAAAAATAAAACTTTTCGAACCGAACCAACCGACTTTTTGTGTACGGTTCCGGAGATCGAATTTTGGGATCTTCAAAATTTGGTACAATTTTGAAGATTCATCAATTTTTGAACCCTACCGACTCACACGCTCAACTTTAGAGTAAGTGGGGCCTTGGCGGTCGACGGCTCGCCCTACCAGAGCCAGCTCTGACGAGTGACTAGCAATTCCCATATCCACATCTATATATATATTAAAAGCCAACCTATTTACCAAAAACAGTAGCAAGAAAAGTCAACACACATTTAATGCATACTTTATTTGAAAATTTTTTACTATATGCATTAAATGCTTGCATATTTACATTTATTATCCAAATATGATCTTCAAGATTTTTTCCTTAAATAATTTGTGCAATGATTTTACTGATATCCATTATAATTAATATTTGTCGAGTAATATTTTTTAACCTTTATTTAATTATATAACACTAATATTTTTTTAAAAATTAATATTATTTATTATTTAAAAGATAATGATCACATCATTAAATGATTTTTTTGATGGTTAGATAATAAAATTATAGTTATTCTTTAAAATTTCGACATGTTATTTATTTGTATATTATTGTCAACTATGATAATATTTTTATAATTTTTTTTGTTATGTTTCAAAAATGAACTTATTGTAAAAATATTTTTCTATTGCATAGTATGTTAAAAAAAATATAAAGCCTTAGGATGAAAATTAGAAAAAATCTCTTGATTATGTAAGGGATTTATTTTTTGGCAATTGCTAAATTATTTTTTTTTTTAAAAAAAGAATTATTATGAGAAAATTGAATTCTAAAAAACATGTGTGTGTATTTTGTAAACATTTATACTCAAAATTTTATTTTTAATTTCATTGCATAAAGAAGACTACTTCTATAACTTTTATAAATGATAACAATTACATTATATGATTGTAAATTTTATAATAAAATAATAATTGAGTATTATATGGTGAACAATAATTAATAAAATTTTTATTTTTTCCTATATCAATGAATAAATATGTATTCTAAAATCAAATAAATATTAGTATGACGTGTTAGCGGAATTATATATTAATTAACATGTTAATTTTTTGGCTTAAATAAACGCCACTTATTAAAATATGTGAAATATGGATGATCCAAACCTATTGTTTTTTTTGTCTAGACGTACAAGTGTTATAGAAATAATTGATTTATTATATGTATCACGTGCATCGCACGGGATATGCACTAATAAATGACCTTAAAATTGTGCACCTCGTGCATCTCCCGTGTTCACATTTTAGCCTATTACAGGTCAAGTACTATATATATCCTGTACATTTTTTTTATTCATTTATATAATTATAAGAATGGATAAATGACCTTAAAATTGTACACCCCGTGCATCGCACGGGCTCTGTACTAGTTATTCTATAGTACAAATAGTTTTGGTAGTTATATGTATTTGATGTATATTTAATGCGCTGCACCCGAGGAAAGACCATACCCACAAATAACAACTGAACAAGAGTCGTGTTTGTCAGGCCAAAAGACGTATGTGGTTTCTGCAAGAGGAAGCAATAAATAGACTGAAATAATACCTAATTCAGAATAAAAAAGACGCGAAATCGGATAAAAAAAAAAACCGCCGATCGATCGCACACCCCAAAAACACCGATTTGCACTCGCTCGATCCATCGACTGGATCAACAGAGGTTTTTTTGGCTGGTTTCGATTGATCGGTTGTTTCGATTCGTCGTCAGTTGTTTGGTATTATGGTATTGTTACAGAGGAGAAGATTACGAGGATCGGGCTCCGGGGATGAGGAAGAGGATGACAGAGGTAATCGTAACAATGGCGGATTTGGAGTTCGATTGGGGAAAAAGTACGAGCTGGGGAGAACCCTTGGAGAAGGCAATTTTGGGAAGGTGAAATACGCGAAGAACCTCGAATCGGGCCGGGCCTTCGCGATCAAGATTTTGGAGAAAAACAGGATTGTCGACCTCAACATCACTCACCAGGTTCGATTCCAAATCTATCTTTTATTTTTTTTTGTTCAATTCGATTTTTCATGTTCGTGTTTGATGATCAAATACAGGTTCGTATGTTTTTTTGAGAGTTAATTCATATCAATTTTTTTTTTTTTTTTTTT